ACCGCTCTTTGCTACTACTCTCCAGGGGTCCAAATCCTCACCGATTACCATCACCACCCCGAGATCTACACTAATTTGAGTTTGTGTTGTCATTTGTTGCAATTTTTTATTTCAAGTCTCTTTGGTGGCAAGTTCCTATACAATTTAGCCATAATACTTATTTTCTCTTTGTTGTTAGTTAACTCCGATATCACCAAAATGTTATATAGAAAAAATAAATCAAGAAAAAAATTTACTGAAGTAATAAATCCTAGACTTATGTTTTCATGGCATGATTTCTTCTAAAATTAAGTAATCTCACTTATGCTGCACTCTAATGCAACACATTTTGCACACAAGAAATTGGAAGAAATTTTATTTAATTGTGAAATTGCATTCCTTAAAATTTGCATTTATAAACTCTTCAATTTTAGGTTTGTAGATATCGTTGGCATGTGATCGACCCAATTTAATTTTAGGTAGCTATCAAAGTCAAACTTGATTTTTTCAAATCCCAATTCAAGTAAAAAAGAAGCCCAAAATTTGTAAAACTTCCAACGTGAATAGGCCAACAAGTGTAACAACATAAATTGTTAGCTTGTGAAATTGAAGCTCCGCAAGTAGTGGCATCAAATATATCTCTACAGATGAACTATCAACCCAACGAATAGCCCATTAAAGTAGCAACAACACTTGCTGGTAGTAGCAATGCTATACTAATAATAATTGGCAGCCGTAATAAATTCTGCAGGGCTAGTCAACCATATAGTAATAGTAACCAAGAGGGGTGAATCATTGTAACAACGCACAAGAAGATAACATGGGTAACATCACAATGTAGGGGACTAAAATCCTGCAAAATTTTTTTAGGCTTAAAATCATTTAGCTTCGACAAATTTAGCATGTGGGACTCATTAGTAAATCATATTAAATTTTGTGCTTCTTGCAAAGTAATCTATGAGTCTTCAGAGATAGGTCTTATGCCAATGAACATGATATATCCAAAATCCACATGAGTAGTGTGTCACTCGTCATCCAAAATAGCTTTAGGAATTTATTTATAGAATAATATGGCAGCGGTTTGGATATGGATTCATGAGAAGGTAAAAATGGAGAAGAATCCAAGCAATTCACAGTAATCTTATAAAATAAGATTAACTAGTACAAATTGAAAATTAATTATTCTTGAAAATTTCTAGAATTTCAAATTCATCATAACGTTTAATTTTCTATAAGGTCTTCATGGACCTTTTGTTTAATTTTAAACACACGAGTACTTCAGTGATATTTTGTTTGTATCAGCGGAAACTTTGTGGGTGTTATAGTTAGCAGCCAATTTTTTGTGTGAATATTCTCTTGCAATTTGTGTGTATGTTGTGCCAATGATTATACAAATGCACTAGGCTCGAACTCAATTGGGAAGGTTTACCAGACCTATAGGTTTTTGAAGTTGAAATCCTGTGATGATCCGGAAGAAACTAATGTTGCTAGACCTTTTAATAAGTGAATTGTATGAAAATTTGATGTCAGGCTGACATTTCATGGCCTTTAACATACCTTAAAACAATTATAACAATTTATAAATGAAGATATAGTCTAAAGTTTTAAAAGACCACTAAATCATGATCTTTCATTTGTGATAATCACAAGGGATAAAATTGTCTCTTTCCCAATTTCTCTCTGTCTGTGTGTGTGCGTGTATATATACATACATACATACATACATACATATACATACATACATACATACATACATATATATATATGGTCACATTTCATCGTTGATCTAGATAATGTTAACACTGCATAAATCTGATAAATTATATGATATTTGAACTAAATAATTTAAAAAAGATCTTTATACATGAACTACTATGACATTTTTCGTTATTAAACAGCATCTCACATTAGTTGTGCACAATCTTTTCTATTACTCGTTTATTACACATGGGACATTCCTCAAGTTTATTTATCTACTAATGGGTGTTGAGTTAATTATATAAATTTGACTTAGTGGGTATATCACAGTTCCAAACTACTGTAACTCAAATGAAAAGCAATAGACATTTACTAGTAAGCAAATTTGAACAATAAAGAAATTTTAGGAATTTGTTTTTCATTATAGTAATAATCATGATTATAAATATTTTATTGCTATTAAAGTCACAAACATTAATTCAATTGTATCTTTTTGCCTAATTGCAATAGCATTAACATGACTTGAAGCACAACATATAGTAATATATGCTTCAGAGTGAATAGTTATTGTACGCATCAAAAGCGCATCTAAATCCCATGTATTTATGCGATACTTCAATATCAATAGCATTTTTCGAACTTATTATGGCACTAGAGTGATAAGAGACAATTTTCAACGCCTGATTACAAGTATCCCTGCTAGTACTGTGAAAGAAGGTTTTCGTCTTTCAACATACTTCTGCCAACCTTCATATATATCATTTCTTTTACATTTAAGATATTCTATATTAGATTTAGCTATAAGACAAGTTGCATGCTGCAACATCTTCTATATAGGTATTTGAATTCACTAGGCTAAAGGGAAGAAGATTGGATGAACTCACTAGGAACCAGTATACATGGCTCTCGAAGTTACTTGCCCAAACCTGGAGGACACCCACCCAACTTTGAAGGCACTTGTCCACGACACCGAGGAAACTTACTTATTCAGAAACAACGACTCCATCTATTTGTTCAGCAAAACCTTCAAAATACTTTATAAGACAGTGTTTTATGAGTATTTAATTGAATTATGATCACTATGTCCACGTGTATACGGGAGTCATATCATACATTTATTTATTTATCTACTTGTTTAAATTATACCTTCGCTCCTAAATCCTATAAATATGTATTCAAAGGATCATTTTGCTGTGGGCATATACAATACTCAGATCTTCTGGTGTGGTGAATAATATTCTTGGAAGTGTCTCTCTCTTTCTTTTTTTTCTTTTCCTCTTTCTCTTTCTCTTCGATCATGGCTTTCTTGAGATATCGTCTGTCCTGTAAATGTAGTCTTTAACGTCGTCGCGGATAGATGTTGATCTAACAAATACCAATTATGAGAATTGGTTCTACTATTTGTTATGAACTTTCATGGTTTGGTTCACCTTTGGTTCGGTCTGGGTAATTGATTTGTTCCTATGTACTGCTGCTTCATCCAAAACACTACAGATTAATTGCACTTTGCATTTATCCTGTTAGGGGATTTGTTGGCTGTAAAGATAAATTGAGATGAGAAGACTTCTCTTTTACTCAATTTAACTGCTTGTTATAGGTCATTGCTGCGGGTGATACCTGTGCTATCTGCCAGGAGAGAATGCATGCTCCCATCCTACTCCGGTGCAAACACATTTTCTGTGAGGACTGCGTTTCTGAATGGTGATTGCTTCTCCCTGTCTATCATCTATTTTTTCTTCTTTATTATTTATATATGATTATGAGCCTTCAAATCTGTTCCTTACCCAACAAAATATGAAATTACCAAGGAGCTCTGTCATAATTAAGATCTCGGCGCTTGTGTCAGATCCAATATTTAGAGTCATTTTGTGGTTTGGATGGATCGGCTTTAAAATTGGTCAGACCAATTGCAACTGAAATCGAAAATAGAAAAAACCGAACCAAAATTTTTGATAAAATAGAACTGGCCGAACTAAAATTTAATTTGCTTTGAATGGTTTAGTTATAAACAAACCAAATTTTATTGATAGTTAGAGTTCGATTATGAACGAACTTCAATAATTACATATCTTACATGTATAATATTGATTTATTTTCATGAATTCTTTATTTGGTTTGTTCGGTTAAATGAAAATTAAAACTGAACTGATAACCGAAAGCTGAATATTGAGGTTTTAAAAATCAAAAATCCAAAATCAAAATGCATTTTTGAAACCGAACTGAAACAATCAAATTTATTTGGTTCGATTCGATTTTTGGATTTTGACCAAATAATGCACACCCCTACCAAATATGATGGTTGCGGAAAAAACTGATGCGCATCTTTTTCCAGGTTTGAGAGGGAGCGCACATGTCCTTTGTGCCGGGCGCTTGTGAAGCCGGCAGATCTTCGATCATTTAGTGATGGTTCGACCAGTCTTTTCTTTCAGATTTTCTAGCTAGCATATTTAAAGAAGAGTTATACTTGGCTCCACAGAGGAAAAGCTGCCCTGAGATGCATGGGCGGCTCCCCTAAAATGCTTGGAAGGCTGTTTAAGTGCGACAGATTCGTGCACATCTGGTGGAGATGTTTATTTAATGTACCCAAAAAAAAAAAGGTGAATTTTCATCCGCTAGTCAATTTAATACCAAGTGAAAAGTAGTATTGTTATTATTTTTTTTGTACATGTATCCTTCAAATGCTGATGAAGAAAAAACTATTATTTAAATAAGATTCTTTTTTTTTCCTTTTTGGAAGATTTATATACATACCGCTCAATTTTTATCTTATATGTCTAACACCTAAACTTCAATTTTTACGTACCACATTGCCTATGCATGAACAGGCGTATTTAATTTTTTTATAAGTTAAAATGATGGTATTTTTATGTGATATAAAAGATTTGGGTGGTATAAATTTAAAAAGCAAAATGCAAGTAAATACACATTTATTTAAAGTTGATCTTAAATTGAATACCAAAGTTCTATATATTGTGGATATGCTAGATGGTGGATCCTAAATTGTCTATAGATGTACATGCCCCGAGAGTTAGAGTTGAGTGGAGAAAAGAGAGAAAGATTGAGTAGAGAGAATGGATGGTTTGTCTTTCATTTGTCATGATCTCCTATTTATGGGGGTCTAAAAATACAGTTACAACAAAAAAGAGGGAACAATTAATATAATCGACAAAATAAATGAATCAATGTATGTTGAATAAAAAGTGCATTATAATATGGTGGAACTATAATGTTTGTAAATCGTTTGATGTTTCAATTTCGACTGGCGATATTGATTGATTGTATATATCAGATCATTTCCGTTGAGGAGACTTGTCAATCGATCAAATTCATTTCAGTGAGAGGTGACTGTTGATTTCGCTGTAGTCGATCGATCACTTAGCCAATTCACATCCCACTCTTTGGCATGAAACTTTGGTTGCCTGAAACTCCATTCATAGCTGCTTGTTCCCTATGAGATTTCCAATGACATTTTTAAGTAACAAATGACGGTAAATGAAGAAATTAATTTAATAATTAATTCTCTCTTACGTTTTGTGCCCAGTAAATCGATTAATAGGGCATGGAGACTCGTGGTTTATTCATTTCATTCAACGTCTCTTTGGTTTTTCTATTGACATCATGGCAGATGATTCGAGTAAGAAGATCATCGGCGTTCTCCTTTTAGCTTTGGAAAGCTTCTGAATTTCTGCTTTTATGACTGTCGAAAAGAAGAGAAAGAAAGTTGTAAAGAAAAATAAACGGTTGACACCCAAACTTGAGTCGATTGACCAACTCATTTCTTTTGAAGGTTCTGACAGTCAGGTGCCAAAGAAACATATGAATAAAAGCACTCGCTATGAAGTTCTGACTTTTGTTTCAAGCATTGTGACTATTGAAAAGAAGAAAAAGAAAGTTGTAAAGAAAAAGAAACAGTTGACACCCAAACCTGAGTCGGTAAACCAACTCATTTCTTTGGAAGGTTCTGACAGTCAGGTGCCAAAGAAATATCTGAAGACAAGCACTCGCTATGAAGTTCTGACTTTTGTTTCAAGCATTGGCATGATTGTTAAGGAAAATTCGTAAGTCTTTTCATCTGTCGAAGAGCTGAGAGCAGTCAAGTGTGGTCAAAAGAAAAGCTTGTTGTGGATTTCACACCCACTACAAAATTGGAACATCAATCTCCCGACACAAGGAACAGATGAATTTCCTGTTACCCGCTCTGAACTAAACAGATTTTTTCCTGACTTTGGCAGTTTTTAATAATTCCTTGACATAATTCTAATGCAGATGAGCCGCTCACACCAGAGAATTGTGTCGATGGTGGGCAATTCGAGAATATTATTGTTAATTCTACCCCAGCGCCTGCGATTGAACCAGAAAATCCGACCGTTGCACCTCTTCAATCGTTTGATGAGGGTGTGTATCGATCGATAGACTCATTCAGCAGCTCCCAACAGTAATATTTGGAGAGTCGGCATTGTCCTCCAGTTTGATGGAGCGCCCAATGACGATACGGTCGGCCATTCGACGAAAGTGAATGGAGAGCATTTTGATGTGCCCATGCAGGAGTTACTAGCTCGTTGTGCGAGGTTAGAAGCAGAAGTTATTTCGCTTCACTGTGATATAATTAATGTACGAGATGTGTTAGGCCCCAGTCGAGAGTCAACCATTCTGAATAAATTCTAGCAAGATGTCGACCGATTGGATCAGATTAGGATTTATGGAGAGTTGGTTTTCCGGAGGATGCTTCAACAAGGGTTCACCTTGGCTGAAGCGACGGAAGGCCCTTTTATTAAAATTTTTCTTCCAAACTTGTAATCATTTAATTTGTAATAAAATTATATTTTATTTAATGTGAATTGATGTTTGGTGTTACACTTATCTTTTCACGAAGTTTCGACTTCCGCACCTACTCTATAAATAGGGCACATGACCATTTTTCTTTTTTATGTTTCTATGCTTTTTCTTGGATTTCCTTTCTCAAATATCTCTGCGCTTGCAATCTTTCGAATGGCTCTGAAGTATTATTCAACACTTTTTGGGATTTATCCCGCCATTGATGTGTCCATCATGACAACAGCAGATGTGAAGAAACTGCAAAAGTCCTACGTCTTCGACCGAACAATTATTCTTGGACAAGTTCGAGAATTTGATCGGACCGAAAAATAACTTTAGCCTATACCTGTTTTTCTATAGAGAATAGTTCAAGTATGGACTGCAGTTGCCTCTCTGCTCTGAGCTGTGAAGCATCTTCAACTGCTGTGTATTCATCCCCGCACAAGTCCTTTCGAATTTGAGCGTTGCCATCATGACATTTGTGATATTCTGCTGCTGGGAGGAAATATCTTGGTCAATTGACATGTTTAATCATTTTTTTTCCTTTAAAGTTGACAAGGATGACTTTCCCATGTTCTCCGTTGGAGTTGACAACAAGGTGAAGGATTGGAAGTAGTAGTTTGGGGTTGGCTCCTGCGTCCGCGACAGAGAGATTCATACTAAGTTGGTGGATACTTCGATAGGCAAGATCAAGTTTTTTGCTGAAGGACTTGCGTGCTGTCGGAGCAATGCTTACCTAGCGTAAACTATCAGTTCCCTAATATACCGCCAAGGGAATTGTTAATCGAGTGTTAAAGAGCCAAATGACTAGAGACTTGTGGCTTGCTTCCGACGCTGTAGAAGCTGCTCGAGCGAAAGTGGTCTTGAATAAGCTGGTCGCAAAGCAACAAAAACTGAACTTCTCATCGTTGAAAGGTATTCTCATAGAAGGTCAGTCCTCTGGTACTGTTGCCGTTGCGACGACCAACTCCAGTAGTGCTAAATTTGTTACATTTTGGTCTAATACTTCGATCATAATTAAGAATACCGTAACATGTGAAGTTACTATTATCGCTCGATCTCAATTGTTAGATGCAAAAAAGTGAAGCCAAGAAATCTTGATCTTTTCTGAGGTCTGGCATCTCTGATGATGAAGCTTTTGAAAGAGTTGGGGAGCCAAATACCTCATTGGCAAAAATTGATCAACCGATCGAGTCACCTTGGGAATTTGTAATCACTTGCCTTCCGATATACTCACTTGCAGCTGCTTCATCTTTCATAGCTCTGTTGTAGATAGGGGTGTAAACGAACCGGACATGAACGAACAGAGCTTGTGTTCGTGTTCGGTTCGTTTGAAATTTAGTTTGTTTGTAATAAGCTCGTGTTTGAAACTGTTCGTGAAGTCATTGTTCGTGTTCATTTCTTAACGAACGAGTCGGACACGAGCTGAACACGAGCTCTTCGCGAACGACGAGCCAGTTTGACATCTCTAATATTGATATATATAAATAATATATTATATTAATTATATAACTTATAGTATTAAATATATAATATTTATATTAGTATATTACTAATATATTATATTAATATATTATTATTATTAATTTATTATATATTATAATTTATAAAATTTAATTTTTTAAAATATCATAAATTTTTTATATATAATTATTTTAAATTATTTTATATTTCTAACAATAACGATTCAAACACAAACAAACGCATCACTGTTTGTGTTTGGTTCGTTTAACTAGCCGAACGAAAAAAATTTGTTCATGTTCGTCTCGTCTACTTATCGAACGAATCGAACACGAACTCATTGACGAACCGAACACGAACTGTTCATGAGCAATGAGCTTTTTTGACAGCCCTAGTCGGAGAGGGCTAGAGCCAACTTCCCTCCCCATTTTCTTGTCTCGTTCTGATTCTGAACAGGGAGCAAATCCATCATTCGACTATGGTCGTTCGCCATCTCCCGAGGGAGAAACGATTTGTTGGTAAGGCAAGGAGCCGATGGAAAATTTTGATGTTCCTCCTCCCTCTTCACTGAAAGGAAAGAGGGAGTCCTTCAAATTGCTTCTGGTGAAGGGAGGGGGTGGAGGTGGGAAGATTATGGGTTGACGCTCACAGTTGATTCATCTTCATGGACACTTTGGGGACCAGTTTCCCAACTTTGCTGAGGCCAAGCGATTTCAACCACTTCTGGTGGAATTGATGTGGTCGGACAAATACGACCAAGCCTTGAAGAGACCCAACGCCAGCAAATCCTGCAACGTGTCATAGTGACCCAAGCTGCTCACCTCCAAGGGTTGATGCCCATAATAAAATCACTTCATTGGAAGCTGACCTCATAAGGGCTCAGGATGATATAGTTCTCCTCGAAGACTCTGGTTGTCCTGGAATTGAGAGCAAAGAGGCGATCGAAATGTTGGAGACTTCTATGAAAAAAAAACAAAAAATTGAAAGCAATTGTTGGCTCATCTATTTCTAACGAAGAGCATATGACTGAAATTGCAAAACAGTTTTGCTATGGCATGGATTATGCTACCGAAAGTCATTCACCATGGCCTTGTCGATGCAAAATTTTCCAATTCAGACGAGTTTGCAACTCTCATTCTCATAAGCCAAAAGACTCTTCAGAAGAGGAAGAAACTGATGAAAGCTCCAGTGACGAGGACCAGTGACAACTCGCTGAACTTTTCTGTACTTGAGAACTTTTTGCATTATTATTTTTAATTAGTTTGTCAAAAGAAAACTATAAACAATAATTGCTTTTATATATAAAAATCTTACATTCGCTTTTACCTTTCACCTTATTTTTTTCAAAATGCTTGTGATACTCAGGTAGCTATCAATTATTTGCTCACCTTGGAAGTGAGTCTGTCGTTGTTTATCGACTGATGAAAATTATCTGTCC